GGTAATCAACACCATCTCCTCCAAAATCTTCTAAAGACACCTGCAATGTATTTAATAATTTTAAAGCATTTAAAATTAATAATAAAAAAAAATAAAGAAAATAAAAAAAAAAAATGGTGTCCGACCGGTCGGACCGGGTCATAACCGGCCGTCGTGGCCGGACACCAAGTGGGCCGTACGACCGGTCGGTTAGTACGACGACCGGTCCGTACGGCCACAATTTTAGCACGGCCAGGGGCGTGTCCGGTCGAACCGGCCAGACGCCTTTGTGAATGTCCGGTCCGGTCGGCCGGACACCGCCGGTGCCGTGCGAAAATTGTGGCCGAACAATTTTTTTTTACCTCTGAACTACTGGATATTTTGCGAACACAAGAAATGAAAAGGGCAAAATCGTCCAAGGAGACGGTGACTAGTAATAAGGGGACGTAATCATTTGATTGCTCGTATGTACTAGTATTCTATTTCTGAGTTATAAGAGTTTCTTATTTGTCTTAAAAAAAAAAAAAAAAAAAAAAAAAAAAAAAAAAAGACATTTCAACTTTTCATTTACCTTTGTACGCACACAAATTTTATCCACCTTCACCGTCAATTTAGCATAACTCAGTTAATTATCTCTCTACACTCCCACTTTCCCTCTCTCTCCGCAGATCCGATCCTCATCAGTCAGGCAATTACCTCCAAACATTTCTACCGCCGCGGCCATGGAGGAGGCCTTGGATTTGGCGCGTGCGAAGGACACAAAGGAGCGGATGGCTGGCGTCGAGCTCCTCCACCAACTGCTCGATGCTTCAACGAAGACTTTGTCCCCATCGGAAGTGACGTCACTCGTCGATGTCTGCCTAGATCTCTTGAAAGACAACAACTTTCGAGTGTCGCAGGGCGCGCTGCAGGCCCTTGCTTCCGCTGCTGTCCTCTCCGGCGAGCATTTGAAGCTGCACTTCAATGCGCTGGTCCCGGCGGTGGTTGAGAGGTTGGGCGATGCCAAGCAGCCAGTTAGGGATGCTGCCAGAAGGCTTTTGCTTACCCTCATGGAGGTACGGTATTGCGATTGTTTGAGCAAATTTTTGCTGCCAAGGTGAAAAGCTTATATTTTGCTTTCAATTAAATTGATGTACTTTATTCGTTGCCTATGGCTTTAGCTGTGTTCTTTTTGTGTGCGTGGAGGTTGTATAATCTGTTGTAATGAAGCTTGACCTACGATTCAGGATTGTTTTTCCATGCCTCTTTAACTTTAAGCATGTTACTGTAGTTACCATGACCATTCCATGTTTTCTTTGACTCTCGAAAGAGTTGAAATAACAATTGGTTACTTGGATTCTCTTTTGTTCCTTTTAAGGCTAAAATGAGTTTTGCTTGTAGATTGTGCCTGATTGTACTCTTAATATTGCTCCCTCTATCAGATATCCATGCTTTGTGTATTTTATTGTTGCTACATTTCTCATTGCTGGAGAATTTATTTACCATCTATTTTATATTCTCCACTAATTTGGCCATATTATGACACCATTTATCTACGAAACCAATGCGTTTCCAGGATTTTGGTCTTATTTGTTGGTATGTATCAGTCTAATCCTCACCTTTATGACATTTTGCCTTGTTAATTTAATAATTCAAATAATAGAAATTAAATAATCAAGGAGATTTGTATTGTATGAAAGCGCTGATCTTTTTGTAAGATTAATTTCGAGGGAAGCAGTTATCTTTTGGCTTGTCTAGAAGATTTATAGTGAAATAAAAACTTTTTCTTCTACCTGGAAAGTGTATAATGTTTATTCATGATGTGCTTTCTTCTTTTTGAACTGTTAAATGATGTGTCTCAAGAATTTAGACGTCTCTAATTTAGCAATTTTGTTATAATTCAAATCAGTCTGCTGTGTCATTCTCTATGATTGCACAACCCACATGCACTTTAGGCTTCATTAAGTTCATTGAGAGAACTGGGAAGAGGAAAGCTTGGCTGAAGGTAGACATATGTGGAAACTTTACTTCACCTCACATTGTAGCATTTAATATTTTGTCCCTTTAATGAGCTACCAATTGTAGGTATTTGGCGAGTGTCTTTGCTTTTATCTTTCTTGCACTATAGTTAGTTCTTTTGTTCTACCCCATTTGATATGGAACCAATTTTATGAATGACGACGGCGGAAAATAGTGGCAGGCTGAAATCCCGCCATGGCTCTGCCATTATTAGAATCCTCCACAATTTTCTAATGGTGGTTAGGCAGAAATCCGCCATGCCACTTGCCATGGCAGAAATTTGATAATACCATATGGAACTGTAAGAATAGTGTTTGCCTGGCCCTGGAGCGATATCTAGATATGTTTCAGCTGAAAAAATGTTGAATAAAAGGAAAAAGGGTTACTGGGATATTTTGTATTTGAGAAAAATATATTGCCACTTGCTGTGATTATCCTCGGTGTCAGTGTGCTGCTATTGTGAAACTTACACCGATGTAGTTTTTGAGGAAGAAAATTAAGAGGTGACTGAGAAAAAAAAAAAAAGAAAATTAAGAGGTGTTACCTAGACATTTGCCAAAGAAAATTTAAGAGGTAGTAGACACATGCCTGGTTACTGTGCATGCAGAGCGACATGTTTGTTCTCGGTTTTCAACTCCTTATGTTCTCGAATTGTGAAATCAGCAGTCACCATTATAGTATTTTAAATAGAACTTCGTGATGGTTCAGACATGAGTGTAACCCCATGAACTTGATATTTTAGGCAAGAGTTGAATACTTAATATCCTGTTTATAATGAGTTGATCAAATGTCATGCCACTGAATTTTTTCAGTTTCTAATTCAGTGGCAGTCCAGTAGTCACAGCATTATGTAACTGGCCTTTGGTTAGGATCTTTAATTAATATAAATGCATTTTTGAAAAATTCATGAGATTCATTCTCAGAATTGAGAATATTGTCTTTGCTGCAGGTGTCTTCACCGACTATTATTGTTGAAAGAGCAGGATCTCATGCTTGGGCACACAGAAGCTGGCGAGTTAGGGAAGAGATTGCTCGTACAGTTACATCTGCTATTAGTCTGTTTGGATCTACTGAACTACCACTTCAACGTGCCATTTTACCACCTGTATGTTCACGTCATTTGCTTTTACTGATGCCAGTTTAGTTTAGATTCAAATTTCAATGTTGGAGCAGGAAGTAATTGGCGGTCATTCATGTGACTTTTGAAGAACTTGTGGCCTCATTTGTGGTTTTCTTGATTCAGATTTTGCAGTTGTTGAATGATCGAAATCCTGGAGTGAGAGAAGCGGCTACTTCATGTATCGAGGTCTTGAAAATTCATGACACTTTTTTTCTATTTACGCCATCGCCTACAATTTTATCATGTGCTGCTGGTGATTTTCTTCTTTATTTAAAGGTTTTGGAATGGATTGGTAACTCGAATTGGTTCGCCGTTCTGTTATTTTTTAGGATTTATGGTGGAAGCTGTCTTTTGAAAAGATCTACCTTAGTTTTGGTTGAATATCAAAGATTTTCTGTACCCATGTCGCTGAATATGATTGTATTTAATTTTTTGGAGTTAATAATATGAATATTGTTCTCTTTGTTATATTTATGTCCCTTCTTAACAAAAATTAACATTGTACCCTCTAGCTACAACTCCAGAACATACAACTTCTTTTGTGTGATTATTTATTTATTGTCCCCAGGAGATGTATACTCAGGCTGGCTCCCAGTTCCTTGAAGAACTGCACCGGCATCATCTACCATCATCGACGGTACTATCATTGCCATTTATGTTCTGAATGTTGCAACCTATGATTTAGAAAATAGAATAGCTTTAGCAATTTACACAATTTTTACTGATCCAATGCTGCTTGAAGGCCCTATGGTTGAATTATTTCTGAAGTATACGTCATGATGATTGCTGCAGTTAAAAGATATTAATGACAGATTAGAAAAAATTGAGCCGCAGAAGGCTCATTCTTCTGATGCTATTGTTAGCAATTATCATCCTAATGAGACTCGGTCAGCAACCGTTACAAAGAAAAGCAGCCCCAGGGCCAAAAGCTCAACACGTGAGACTTCTCTCTTTGGAGGTTAGTATTTGTAGTTTTTATTGGGTTATATGTTAGATTCAAATGTAGGTAACATTTTTTAAGATTTTGACATTTTTCCTGTTATAATATAATTTGACACTAGTTACTTTTAATGTCATATTGTTCTTTTGGGTAGTAAAGTGATGATGTTGAAAGCTATCATGTAGATTTAGTAGATTGTGCAAGGAGAGGCTATATTAAGTAACTGAAGGCGAACTTATGGTCATCTGTAGTCCTGTTCAATGCAAAGTTATCATGAAACATATATATTCACTTCAATTTTATTTGGTAACTTCCACTGTCTTTTGACTTTCAGCAGCAGATACTGATATAACAGAGAAACCTGTCAACCCAATTAAAGTTTATTCAGAGAAAGAGCTTATAAAGGAGTTTGAAAAGATTGCTTCTATTCTTGTGCCTGATAAAGATTGGTCTGTCCGTATTTCAGCCATGCAGAGACTGGAAGGCCTTGTTGTTGGAGGTTGTTTAATTTTTATTGCTTTGAAATTGTGGTTGCCAATTCTTCTGAGAATCATGATAACTGCTTTTATCTTTTATATACGACTTTCTTGACCAAACTGCAAAACACATGAGATAACCAACCTGAATATGCTGGGGACCATTGTATTTTACAGCTTAACAAATTGCCCTGCTATTATATAATGCTATCTAGTTTAGTAGTTTATTTGATTTGTGTTTAGCAAACAAAAATACTAATTATCTTCTGCTCATGCCATTCAGGTGCAGCTGATCTCCCTTGTTTCCGTGGACTTCTTAAGCAGCTAGTTGGGCCCTTGAGCACTCAACTTTCTGATAGACGATCTAGCATTGTGAAGCAGGTTTGGCCACAAGCGACTTGATATTTCTCCTTTTTTTGAGAGTAGCTCTGTTCACGTTATGCAAACAAGAGCAGCATTGAATTGTTATCACATCGTAAATGTACTATTTTTGTTATTAGCCGTTTTATTGAAACTTGTGAGTGAAAATGCCATGAAATATGCATCCTCAATTTTTATTCCATGAGCATTTTGTAGCTCCACCATATATTTTGAGTTTTGTCTTTATGAAAGGTCTACTTATGCTACTAAGTTAGCATATATGATAAGTCTAATAAATTTGCCTTTTTTGTGCCGGAAACTACTTTTCATTTTGCTTCAAAGTTTAATCAAAGCTAAAGTTTTGTATTTGGTTTTGTTACATCTGTTCACTTTGTCAGGCATGCCATCTGATATGCTTTTTATCAAAAGATCTCTTAGGAGATTTTGAGGCGTGTGCCGAAATATTTATTCCGGTGAGAACTGTTCACATTTGTAGTCAGTGTTGATTGATCAAATTGTTCATGCTTCTTACTTTCTGCCCTGTACTTTAGGTCCTTTTCAAGCTTGTTGTTATAACAGTGCTCGTAATTGCAGAATCTGCAGATAACTGCATAAAGACGGTAATTTGTTGATTTTCCCAGTTGCTAGTACATGTCTTCATTTTGTATGCTCCGCCATTTACATAATTCCGATCTGCAGATGTTGCGCAATTGCAAAGTTATACGCGTGCTTCCACGAATTGTTGAGTGCGCGAAGAATGACCGAAGTGCTGTGCTTCGTGCAAGGTATGATATTGTTTCTCAATAATCTCAGCCTTATGCTTTCAGTGTTTTTCGCTAATGCTTCTATCTCCCAAATTAGGTGTTGTGAGTATGCACTTCTAATCCTTGAGTATTGGGCCGATGCACCTGAAATACTACGCTCGGCTGATCTCTATGAAGACCTTATTAGATGTTGTGTGGCAGATGCAATGAGTGAGGTATAGATATGAGACGTTTGACATCTATCTCTATATGTAAGGCAGGTTATTCTACAATGTGTTTGGACAATGCACTTTCCTGAATTAACACATGTTCATAGAACGGCGAAAGCCTTTTACTTTAGTGCCCCTTGTGCTATTACTTAAGACATTCTCAACAGGTGCGATCTACTGCAAGGACTTGTTACAGATTGTTTACAAAAACCTGGCCAGATCGATCTCGGCGTTTGTTTTCGTCCTTTGATCCAATTGTTCAAAGGGTATAGTCATCTCCTGCTTTCAAACCGAACTTTCTCAATGCTATGAAATCTATGAATTTGAAAAGATTACCTGTTTAGGTGATAAATGATGAAGATGGAGGAATGCATAGAAGACATGCTTCTCCTTCTGTTCGCGAAAGAAGTTCAACAATGTCATTGACCTCTCAGACATCGGCACCTAAAATTATTCCTGGTTATGGGACCTCTGCTATAGTGGCAATGGATCGAAGTGCCAGTCTAGTCTCACAGGCAAAGTCCACCAATAAGGGAACAGAGCGCAGTCTGGAAAGTGTGTTGCACTCGAGCAAACAGAAGGTATCTGCTATAGAAAGTATGCTGAGAGGTTTGGATGTATCAGGGAATAGTCGATCTTCCAGCTTGGACCTAGGTATTTATGTGATTTTACATTTCTTAATTCTCTTGTCAGTCATTACCAGTAAAATCCCCTTGTCTTGGAAGTTTGAAATGCAATTATTTACTCTTATTTTTTGAATATGTAAATGACCAGCTATTTATTGCATTGCCCTTAGTGCAGGAGTTGAACCCCCATCATCTCGTGATCCACCATTTCCCCTTGCTGTCCCAGCTTCAAATAGTCTAACAAGTTCCTTAGGCGACACAGTTTCTTCTATCTCTAAAGGCGACAGTTGCAATGGGGGCTTCTTGCTGTCTGGTATCATGACAAAAATTCAGGCATCTAAAGAGTCTGGCAAATTATCATACCAAAACAGCACACGGAACGAACTTTCAGCCCATTCTTCTTACCTGCCTACGAGAGTTTCGGAAAAGGTATTCAATAGAGGAGTTCTTGAAGAAAATACTGAATCCAGGGAACCTAGACGTTATACGAACCCCAATGTCGACAGACAATACATAGACACACCATATAGAGATATTAATTATCGGGATTCACAGAATAATTACATACCGAACTTTCAGCGTCCTCTTTTGAGGAAGAATGCAACTGGACGAATGTCTGCTGGAAGGAGGAGCTTTGATGACAGTCAGCTCCATGTGGCAGACCTGTCAAGCTATTCAGACAGCCCGGCTACTCTTGCTGATGCCCTAACTGAAGGCCTCAATTCCAGTTCCAACTGGAATGCCCGCGTGTCTGCATTCAGTTACATCCATTCCCTGCTGCAGCAGGGCTCACGAGGCATTCAAGAAATAACCCAAAGTTTTGAAAAGGTCATGAAATTGTTCTTTAAGCATTTGGACGATCCTCACCACAAAGTCGCTCAGGCTGCCCTCTCAACCCTAGCCGATATTATCACCACCTGCAGAAAGCCGTTTGAGGCTTACATGGAGAGAATTCTGCCCCATGTTTTTTCCCGCCTGATTGACCCGAAGGAATTAGTGAGACAGACCTGCTCGACTACAATGGATATCGTCGACAAGACGTATGGTACAGATTCTCTTCTACCCGCTCTGTTGCGTTCCCTGGACGAACAGCGCTCTCCAAAAGCCAAATTGGCAGTCATCGAGTTTGCTATCGGTTCATTTAACAAGCACACCTCGAGTTCCGAAGGCTCTGCCAATAGTGGCATGCTGAAGCTGTGGCTTGCGAAATTAACGCCACTGGTGCATGACAAAAATACAAAACTGAAAGAAGCAGCTATAACATGCATAATATCTGTTTATACTCATTTCGACTCAACATCAGTTTTGAATTTTATCCTTAGTCTATCCGTTGAGGAACAGAACTCGCTGAGGCGGGCTCTCAAGCAGTACACCCCACGCATAGAGGTGGAGCTGATGAACTTTCTTCAGAGCAAGAAAGAGAGACGGGTCAAATCCTCATATGACCCGTCTGATGCAGTCGGGACGTCCTCCGAAGAGGGGTATATTGGGTCATCCTCGAAGAAGGCCCAGCTTTTTGGGAGGTATACATCCGGTTCTGTGGATAGCGATGTTGGTAAAAAGTGGAGCTCCCTTCAAGATTTGTCCTTTGCAAAGGCGACTGTTGGTAATTTAAAGTCTGATAATGTTATGGAGGATTTGACTCATCATTTGGTGAAGAGCAATTCGGATCCTGATGTTTTTGCTTCGAATTACAAAAGTTTGCGGTGTGCGTCCGGTGATGTGATTGGGTCTTGGGCAGTGGATGACCGTCCAGAGACAGGGATATCTTCCTTGCCTCGTGTGGATATTAACGGGCTTGTTGGATCTGATCATCTGCAGAAGCCCACCAACTTTGGAGTAGAGAATGGACCTTTATCTGAATCTGAATTAGCGCTAAATTATACTCAGCTCCCTGCCTTGAAATTAAATTTTGCTGCCGAAAGTGGTCCAAACATTCCACATGTTCTTCATTTGGTGAGTCAATGTACTTGTGGTCCTAAAATGCTAGTTTTCTCAAACCCTTAATAAAACTTGTCTCCTTTAAATGCCACTTTTAATTATTGTAGAAAGAACCTAATGCAGTTGTGGATATTCTATGTCTATTTATCATATTAATTTGCACATTTCTGTCTAATTTTGGGTAGATTTGTAATGGAGATGATGCGAGTTCTGCAATAAAAAAGCACGATGCACTTCAGCAGTTGGTTGAAGTTTCTATATCCAGAAATCACTTGGTTTGGAGCAAGGTATTATTATATGTTCTTAAGTTCTCTATTTGAGGTTTGCCTGTTCACCGTATATTATATTTTCCAAGTCCGTTTAGCAAATTTAGGTCCTTATAGGCACTAGAGCGTTCCGGTACCTGAGAGTTCCACTTTACATTTTGCATTCATTGCTAATAATCGGGATACTTTCAGTACTTCAATCAGATCTTGACAGCTGTACTTGAAGTTCTCGATGACTCTGATTCATCAATTCGTGAGCTGGCTCTCGTTTTGATTGTTGAAATGCTGAAGAACCAGGTCTTAATTCTGTATCTATGGATGTTTGATTGACGTACAGTAAACTTCTTCTGCATTTAGCAATTTTTCATCCATGTGAACTTTTCTTTTTTTTTTTCTTTTCCTTTTTGGGTGTCCGTGTTAATCAACAGAAAGATACCATGGAGGATTCTGTCGAGATCATAATTGAAAGGCTGCTTCATGTAACTAAAGACAGTGCTCCAAAAGTAATCGACTTTCCCAAAGCTATAATTGCTGTTCTTTTCTGTTTTTCCTCTTCGTTATGTTTTTCTTTTTGGAACTCAGGTGTCCAGTGAATCAGAGCATTGCTTAGCTATGGTCTTGTCTCAATATGACCCTATCAGATGCCTCAGTGTAAGTGTTATTAGTGTTTCATCTTCGTGATAAGATACCGTGTGCCTCTAGTTCGAAATTCTTTTTTCATCTTTCTTTATCGTGTTTTACTTTTTATGTTATTGAGTTGTTGCCTGACATTTTTCAGGTTATTGTTCCTTTGTTGGTTACTGATGATGAGAGAACTCTTGTCACTTGCATTAATTGTTTGACAAAGGTATTTACTTTGAGGAATGAAAATAAACTTGTTCTAGGATATGGCACACTGTTCCCTTGTTAATTGTCGTGGTGCTTAAAAAAAAAATAAAAAATTGTCGTGGTGCTTATGATGACCTTTTACTGTCTTCAGCTTGTGGGCAGGCTCTCCCATGAGGAACTGATGGCTCAACTGCCCTCATTTTTGCCTGCTTTGTTTGATGCATTCGGTAGCCAGAGTGCAGATGTCCGCAAGGTAAACAGGGTGCTTTTTCCCAAAAAAAA